GCCATATATGAATGTCTACCTTCCTATCAAGATACCTTCTTTACCGGCTTTTATCTGTTCCTTTTGGTGTTTTGTCGAACGAGCCTTCTTCGGAGCAACTCATTTAACCTTCTTTAAGGGGGTTGCTTGCGCAGACGGTCCAGCGCCATTTTCTTTCTTTCTGCTGTAGTTTTGGTTGTGTGCGGGCGTTTTTTGTACAAAATTTTGGCTCAACTAATTAAGGGTAGGAACTGATTCAAAATTCATTTCCAAGATCTGTCCCACACATAGTACAACAAACAGATCAAGTTAAATAAAAGTTTGTAATAATAATTTTAAAGACCAACGTTACGTAATGACGTACAATAAATTGCTACTTGACTTGACAGAAATGAATAACGTTTTTCATAAAGCGGGAATTACTCTTCCGATATAGCAATCTAGAAAGTTTGTTACGACTACTTTGTAAGTAAAAATACCGGAATCACTGATAATTACATCAATTTATATATAACGATAGTCAATGTTTGGAAAATTTATGTTACCTTGACAGTGAATTTGCATCTTGAACACGGCAAGGCGATCAATCAGACACGTGTAAGTAATTTTGTGCAATAAATATGGCCATCTCCAAGAAAATCAATCACAGGACTCAGACATCCAGAGCCACTTTCCAGTGCCTCATTTGTGTTGCTCGGAGAGTAACTCGGTACATGCTCAGTACTGCCCAACATCTGGCCTACTGCCCTAGACTGTCATGCACCTGAGCTACTCGTTTTTGAAACTCCCTTCCCCTCATGCACTAGCTTTTTGTTCGGTTTTGTATGCTTCGAAATAGTGGGATGACGAAAATGACAATATGTCAAGAAGGTTATGTTATTTCACCGTTTTTGGTTTTTGCATTAAACTCACAATTAATCCGTACCAGACAATGGAGAACGATAAAAAACTTAATCACATGTTCCTGAATCATGAAGATCACAAAAGACCGTAAGAAGGCAAGTAGTTGGCTTTATGTATAACTAGACACTTTGAAAATAGTTTTAAATGTATATGTTGCTGCAAAAGCCCGAACTGTGGTAAAACCTAAGATTTACCAACTCCCAATGGTAAAAGTCCGAACGTTCTTTTATTTCGAACTTTTACCACCATTTAATTGGTAAATCTTAGGATTTACCATAATGACACGGTAAAAGTTGATAAAGTCATGTCATAACGTGTTCAATAGCACTCCGTGTTGTAACAAATAATATTTTTCTACCTAATATTTAATGACGATTGTCTTTTTTTTCAATTTGTTCGTAATACCAAATTATAAGAAAAATACTGATTCAGTGAGATTCAATTAGCCAACGTAAGCGTTAAGTTTGTGAGAAGATATGATACACATAAATACATATGTAAGGTTCATAAATACATATGTAATTTAAATAAATGATTAAGAATTACTCATTTTTTTATTCCCAAAACTAATATGTACCAGCCATCACTGGCAAAACCTAGCATATACTCAGTTCTAATAGTAAAAAAATGTCTTTTTCAATATTTACCGTGCCCTTGAGGTAAATCCTAAGATTTACCTAGTGAATGGTGGTAAAGGTTAGAAATAAAAGAAGTGTTCGGACTTTTACCATTGAGAGTTAGTAAATCTTAGGTTTTACCGGAAAATCTTAGGATTTACCACAGTTCGGGCTTTTACAGTAACATACACTAAAATATAAATTCGACACATCTACAATAAAAATGCAGACCTCTGGCTTGTTGCGCCATCATTCTAAAAGCATCATCGGGCATCAAATGGATAGTCTGAGAATGCTTCTGAAAATAAAGTCGAATAAAGCAGAACCTGTGACAAAACATCAAAGCTCAGGTTAGGTCTTGATCGCTGCGTTCCCGTGCACATTTGTTAGAGCTTATCCACATATTCCAAGTTTAGGATGTTTCAGAATTTGTTCGCTTTAACATATTGAGTATGAAGAAGTATTTGCTAGGGCTCCAAATGATAGATGGCCGGGATGTTGCCCAAAGATTAATCTTAGCTACGGGCCCAGAAGCACTGTGTAGCCTTTATTTTTTCCCTAGCTTTGCGACTATATGTTATATCGAAATGTACCCAAAATTCCTGAACACATTATGGGTGGCTATTTATTTGTATAGTGTTTTTAGTGAGTCAAACATCTTGGAGTCTGCTTTTAAAGTTCTAATAGCCATAGCAAAGTATCGAAAGGTATACATAAATGTTCATTTTGCGACGGGTACTCTCCAAAAATAATAAAAACCACAAAGGTATTAGCGGAAAGTCTGGAGATATGCATGAAAGTTTTATTGTTTCCAATTTGTAAGGCGAAGATAAAACTTTATGTGCATGTCCACGAAACAATCTAATAATTGTTGCCTGTTTTTTAGAGAAAAAGTGGCACTTTTTTCAATATTTATCAGCTGCATAACTTCTTTGGTCTATTTCCTCCCCAAAAATTTATAGAAAAAACAGTCTCTAACAGGGGAACATGTTTTGACCTCATGTTCAACTTCGTTACTGAGTCCCAGTGGCCTCAACAGATACGATATCACGATCATCACATCAAAAAAGATATCTTCACCACTCATTAGCTGTTGCCATCAAGACTTTTTTACCTTCTACGCCTATATGCATGCATATTTACTATAATTTCTTCCATTTCCGGTTTCAAAAATGGTCGCAGGAAGCGCGGTTAGAAATTAGTGGGCTATCAACATGTATCAGTTCTACAGTATTCCAGAGTAAAATTTCATCCCTCATTACTGTGTATGGTATTACATTGCCAAGTGATTTACAAACGTACCGCTGATAAAAGAAACATAATAAGCATGGTGACGTCATTAAAAATCTAATATGGCGGACGTCTAATATGACACTGCAATATAGTTATGCCGGAAGGCAGCCAAGGGGAGTCAACGCAAACTCATCCAATTTGGACTCATTTGATTTTTCATGGTGTTTTCATAGATTATTATTATTATTATTATTATTATTTTTATTATTATAATTGAGATGAGCAGAGTACATAGTACTATAAGCTCATGCAGTAAATATAGTGTACGGACACGTAACACAAATACATCAAATAGAAAAAAATAAAAAAAGACAGTTCATAGCTATAAAGTTTGTACACTCCTCCAGCTATCATACTGCACTTTGAAGCTATTAACTGAAGTAGCACCAACCACACTTTCAGGTAAACTATTTCAGGTGTTGAATATGCGGTTGGGAAGAAACCACTGTCGGACTGTTGTTTTAAATGGCTCCTTATGAAGTTTGAAGCTGTGTCCGCGTAGCTTGCTGCGCGACAGACGGTATAGATGCATGAGGTTGGTGCCCATCAAACCATGAAGTATCCTGAACATAACTATAAGATCGCCACGAAGTCTTCGCTCAGAGAATGAGGTCAGGTTGAATAATTCAAGGCGATCTTCATAGCTTGGTCTTCGTGCTCCAAAAGGGATACGAGTAGCTCGACGCTGTACTGATTCGACGAGATTTCTATCGCGCAGAAGCACAGTGTCCCATACCGGGCCAGCGAATTCAAGAATTGGCCTCACGAATGCCTTGTAAATGTAGGCGCAAGTGTTGACATCGGATCCTTTGAAAGACCTCTCCAGCATGTATAGAAGTTTCTTGGCTTTTGATGTAACGTGGTGAATATGCTCTGACCAGGAAAGACGATCGTTGACTACAACGCCCAGATCAGTGTGGCTGGAAACTGCTTCGATGTTGTGGTCAGAGATCTTGTATATAAATCGCGGATTTGTCTTCCCGAGGTGAGGGACACAACACTTAGTTAGATTTAAGGGTAAAAGCCAACTGACTGACCATTGACAAACAATATCAAGATCTCGTTGACGCATAGCAGAATTTACGACAGTATTGTAAATCTTGGTGGTGTCGGCATAAGCTGAACATGTGGAGAAAGTCAATGCGGGCAGGTCACTTGTATACAAAAGGAACAGTACTGGCCCCAAGACAGAGCCTTGAGGAACTCCACTTGCTACATGATGAAGGTGAGACTGGCTATCACTGACGCGCACAGAGAAAGTCCTCCCGGTGAGAAAAGCCTTAATCCACAGCAACAACTCGCCTCTTATTCTCATACATTCCAACTTAAACAGAAGCCTTCTATGTGGTACGCGATAGAAAGCCCTAGAAAAATCTAAGTAGATTATATCAACAGGAGTCTTTGTGTCCAGATACTGAGTCCAATCGTTGAGAGAGTGGAGAAGGTTGGTCATTATTGATCGACCAGGGAGAAATCCATGCTGATTCTTAGGGATAAGGTCATTTTCGAAAGCAAATGACAGGAGCTTATCTAATATGATTCTTTCAGCTATTTTGGCGGCGATAGGAGCGAGACTTATTGGTCGATAATTTTTAGCGGAGGATTTGTCGCCCTTTTTGAATACAGAGGTAACAGAAGCACTAAGCCAGCATGAGGGTAGGGTATGAGATCTAAAAGACGATGTGAATATCAGGCTTAATGGTAGGGCCAGTGCTGAAGTGCAGTTTTTAAGTACAGCAGCCGTCATCCCATCATTACCAGGGGAGGAAGAGGTCTTCAGATTTCGCAGGTGCATTAATACATCTTCAGGCAGGAATTCAACTTCGCAAAGGCTGTTGGGACACCTATGGCAGATAGTGGTCGGTAGAAGGTCTCCATTAGGCTCATCGACGAAGTCATCACTAAAGGACTCTGCCAGTAAGTTGGCAGATTCGGTGGCATCCGTGTGGAGATGACCGTCAACGTCGCGGATCTGAGCTGATGAAACTTTGGAATTCAGGTTTGTTCTTAGATACCGAAATAGCTTCTTCTTATTTTTGGAGGTAACGAGTTTTCGTTCATAAGCATGTTTGGCATTATGTAACGTTCTAGATAGGAGGTTAGAAAAGGATCGATGAGACAAGTAATCTTGTTATCTCATCTCGAATCATTCTTTGGACGTGGGAATATAGCATTAGGTTGGTTATCTTCAGATAGAATACAATAATCAATACTCGTACGAACAGCCGAACTTTACCACTCCGCGGTTATAGCGATCAGCAATAATTAATTATTTTAATTTTCCTCCTGCCACTTTCCGGTAATATTGCATTTATAGATGCATTACAGGAATTTTTTACTACTCATAAGTGACAGATCGATAAACGCATTACTCACTATGATAAAGTCAATCGCGGTATTGTCCAGCGTCTTGTGCTTGGTTCTGGCAGACTTTTGTAAAGAAGAAAAAGGAATCGAAAGCTTTGACCCAGAGAAGGTAAGTTTTATTATCTCCTTATGAACTAACTTTTTATCGAACTGACCATTTTCACCAAATCTGCACCAGTCTTTTCCATTCAACTAACCGTTAAGTTTTTCTTGACAGAATAATTCAAAAGTGTAGTAGTATGGTTACCTGCTGTTTGTGCGGGTTTTGTTAGGTTTGCCAGTAATTTTCCCAGCAATAGTGTTTAGCGATTGTGGTCATTTTAGCTAGCTGGAAGTTATGCAAAAAAAAAGATAAGTTGTTCAACTTACTTCTTCACTAGGCCTGTATCTTATCTGTATCTTATAATTTGTTGCAGTTCAAAGGCGTCTGGTACTTCTCTTACAGATATGGCATAAAGACACCCGTATCGTTCGCTAATAGTTGCATGAAATCCGACCTTAATGTCACAGAGAACGGATTTGAAGCTAAACTAGAATTTTACAATAAGTATGTATTTTTATAATGACCATTATTCACTTGATTTTCATACTCCACCACACAGCCCCACAAATAAATGCCAAATCCGCTCATCCTGGGCCTAAAAACCACTCATAGGAGCGATACAATACAGCGATTTAGCATCTATCTCTCTCTCTCTCTCTGTCCATCATTACAAGTAGCTTTGATGCCGATGGTGAGTTTTTTGAACCCACCATTGAAGAATACCCAGGAATACCGTGCTTGAGCAGCTGGCATCCGAAATTAAATTTTTCACCCCTTTTTGGTGGTAGTTTTTGACCGGAAGGCGAATTCCATGAGTGTAAAAACTTCGTTCCTCTCAAATTATTATTTAGCGTTGAATAGTACTATCGTGATTCAGCGTCAATTTTCCACCCCATCTTAGGGGTAGTTTTTGGTTCCAGGGGCGACTTCTACGGATGTTAACACTAAATTCAAATTCAGCGTCGAGAAATACATGTCAATACCATGCTCCTGCATCTAGCATCCGAAAATTAATTGTCACCTGTCTAAGGGGTAGTTTTTGGGACCGGTGGTGACCTGTAGGGGGGGGGGGATAATATATATGAATACTTCAGCATATGACATCCGAAACTTAATTTTATCTCCACCTAGGGGTAGTTTTTGGGCCTGGGTAAATTCTAGAAGCTTAGGAACTTTTCAAATACCGGGCTCCTGTGAAAAATACATAGGAATATTAAGGCCTGTCTCACGAATCTTGACCTTTTTTTGTGAGGCTTTGTTTATGATGCGTATAAGTTATTATTAATATAATAATAATATTTATTCTCCAAATAGAAAGGTGTTTAAAAATGGGCACACAAATATGGAAGCTCCATAGAAGGCATTATCTGCGTGGGGTTTATATATTTTTCTTACTAACAAAAATCATATGTGCATAACAAATATCTAAATCTATACTAAGTGACATATAAATCCGAACACCCAGTTTAAATGGTTTTATTTTAATAAAAGTTGGTGAATGTATTTATCTTACTGTAAATATCAAGTGAAAAAATTTTCAGCCTTATCAGTTGGACATTCCGGTTTTTGTACTGCTTTTTTTTAATTCACTAACGCTCTAAAAATGAATATTTCAGCCGCAGTAAAGAATCAACGTTGGCGGATTTTGGTTCTTGACATCCTTTACGATCGGTTACGATGCCTAGAGTACGGAGACCTGTACGATTTCGTCAACTTAGTGAGTTTGATAGGGGCCGTATAGTGGGACTTCGGGAAGCTGGACTTTCTTTTCGGGCAATTGCAGTTAGAGTGCAAAGAAGTGTAGATACTGTGGTTAGGTGTTGTCAGGCATGGCTTCGAGACGGCCGTACGCAAAGAGCAAGTGGCACTGGACGCCGCCGTAGAACAACAGACCGTGAAGATCGCCGCCTAAGATTATTGGCCTTAAGGGACCGTTTCTCCACTACCAGGTCCATTGCAAATGAATGGTTTGCAGAACACGGAAGTCCTATTGCCATGCGAAGTATTTACCGACGAATGAGAAGTTTTGGCTTGTTTTCATACCGGCCACACTGGGTCCTCCCTTTAACTAGAGAACACCGACGTAATCGCCTTGAGTGGTGCAGACAACGGTCACTCTGGGATCAGGAATGGAACAGTATTGTCTTTAGTGACGAGTATCGATTTTGTTTAGGCATGCATGATGGTCGTGCCAGGGTTAGAAGGCGACGTGGTGAAAGGAGGAATCCACAGTTTTTTGTTGAAAGACTGTTGGAGTTATGGTTTGGGGTGCTATAGCTTATGGTTCCAGGTCACCTTTAATCTACATCAGAGGTAACATGAACGCGCAGCGTTATATCCACGAAGTTCTAGAACCCCATCTTTTTCCCTATCTTCCAACTTTCCAACAAGATAATGCCCGACCACATGTTGCAAGAGTCACGTCCTCCTCAGACTCTAGAAGCACTTCGAGAGGAGTTGATGGTTGCCTGGAATGAGATACCACAGGAGGACATTGACCACCTGATCAGAAGCATGCCTAGGCGCGTTGGAGAATGCGTAGCTCATCAGGGTGCATCCACACATTATTAAATGTCAAAGGGCTTTAAAGCAGTGCAATAATTTTGAAATTTTTATCATTTACTTATTATGCTTCATTAAGTACTTATAACAAATTTTATTAAAATAAAACCATTTAAACTGGGTATTCGGATTCATATGTCACTTAGTATATATAATTATGTATAGTCATTCACTACGCAGTTCAAATCCAATCTTTTAATTTTCATCTATTTTGTGTTTAGTTGCTAAAAATTTAAATGATTTTTTGAATAATGTTTTTTATCATTCAAGTGGGAAGAGGAAATCTTTCGTGGTAGACGTACCACTGAAGAAAGAAGGCGGCAGCTATTTCCAAATCACTCCAAAGGGTGCAAGTAGGTTATCACAGTTTTATGCAGCCTTTAAAATCCGGTATTTCAATCTTTACTTTTAAGTATTTAAGGAAATATATGAAATATACTTTTTTCGCTACTAACCTGAGAACTCGCAAAGGTTTATCGTATTTCTCTAAGAAGAAGTTACTTTTCTCCTTGAAGTCAATACTGAAAATGAAAAAAATCCTTGGGCAAATAGATGGATGTGTAAAATTTATGTAGGTAGTTAGTCACAGAATTGCCATTGCTATTAAACCCGTTGTCCTTCTCCTACGCACCGTTCTGTGATGCACACATTTCGCTTACTTCATTCGGACAGTGCTGCCGGATGTTTAAAACATTCTCAAATATGCTACATTTCAAAGTCTAAATAAATTAAATGTAGTAACCTGTTACAGTTAATAGCGAAAAAGGTACAAGCATACCTTGATATAGAAGGCCACTATTCGTCTTGGACATATTCCTTGGTGATCTGCGCCTCAGGATATAAAGTGCTCGGCAAATAATGACGTACTTCTCCACCAAGGTTATTACTGTACTATTATCTTCTGTATCAACCCGATAAAGCCCAGATCAATTTCTTTGTAGATGTTCAGGTGTATGCTGTGCTTCTAGACACTGATTACGAAAACTATGTAACCGAATACTTCTGCATGTTCGGTAAAAGTAAGTATTAAATGTATGGGATCTGTAAATTAAGTGATAAGACTGGCAACGTGGCGTACGATCTGGCAACACTGGCGGCGCCCGGCTTGGAAGGGAGACAGTGGAACATGTAATCCGCTTTCAGTACTGTTTGAACTTGTTCGATTCGATTTTTCTTTGTGAAACAGCTTTTCCTGTGTTCTAAAGATGGAGCATCAGGTTTTGTTTCAGACTTGGAGACAGTCCAACATAAGCTCTTGCTAAACTTTAGCAAGCCTACGGAGATAGTGTTTTGTCAGGAGCCCATTTTTGTTGCTTCTAATACATACATTAGGAAATGAGCTAGGCCCATTTTCGCATGCAACTTGATCAATCACATTTAAGAAGACTTCTCATTTTGGCAATAACTTTATTTTGTTCAGTAACTTCTATCTTCTGATTCATGTGTAAGTTCGTCAGAATAAGTTTTAACAGGCAACTCGCATTCTCCGAAAACCCGTGACTTGGTTATCCAGATATTGTACAGCCGGAGCATCATAGGAGTGCAGATGGTAAAACTGGATCGATCTCTTTCCATTAGATGGGCATCATCAAACTAGTATTGTCAATTATACTTCCTATGATACTCTAGGTCTAGGTAATAGCTTTAGAAATATCCTACACGTCGTCGTTATTTTGAAGAAGAACGTTCTATATAAGAATTTTTCCACATCAGAGCTTTCCGAATTTCTGTATAGTTAAATATGAGCTACGTGATCTGATGTACAAGTTTCATAATAAGAAACTCTAGTAATTCTGTAGAGATTCACTAAAGGTCGGTGTGAATGAAAGCGAAGCCACTTTCTTAAATTTAAAAGAGCTTTTGATATTCTATAAAAGCTGCTACTAAACACATTGGAGCTTTCATCAAAACAAGGACGGTGTATACAATTGTGAATTTGTATGGTAGAACGCATGTAACAAAGTAGCGAAATGGCTCTGTATTTTTACAGGTGAAGTATTTTGCAACAGGTCAAAGTCAGGTCCTTACTAACTATGAACTGTGTAACTATTAAAGGGTTAACTAAGATTTGACCTTGGGACTCCTTCAAAATTATTGACGCTAAGAAAGATTCCTAGAAGCTTAGCAGGATTATTGATGAAAAAGATCCACGTCACGCTTTAATAGGTATTTCAATGTTGACCTTGGTTTTGACATTGAGCCTCTCCTCTAAAACCATGATAGTACGTATGAGAAAGTAGAATTTTTCATTGCTGGTATTGTTCACAGTTGAAAAAGGGTTGACCTTGAAATTACTATGAACGCTGTGTCTAGAGTCACCATTAAAATCCTTGTTAAATGACATTGAAGATGTGTGCTTAATAATTCTTTTAATTATTAATCCTAATAAACTCTCACATTTGACCTTCTTTTGACATTGATCTTAGAACTTAATACATATACGTACGTAATATTTTCTGTTCTTTCAATTACCGATGTCAAAAAGGGACACTTCGATTTCAAAAACAAAAGCTGTCCTTGAAATAACCTTGAAGGTTGGTCCAAGATCAAATCCAGGATCACCATTGAACTCCTCATTCAAAATGCGTTACCTTGATAAATACAGAGCCTTTGCTCTACTTTTGTTGCAAATAGTATGTATGCTTTCAGTGGCGGAGGGATTTATCAGAACTAGAAGCAAAAATCCCAGTCCAGAAATCATACAGAAGGCAAAGGAGGTAGCAAAACAACGAGTGCCCGATGTTAATACTTTTGTAGACTTGAACTGTGCTACTTCCGAAATTTAGTTTTAATTGACTGTATCGTAATATAAAATATGTTCGATTCTTGTACTTTTTGTGCTAAGCGTCTGTCTGATCCAGACCGTTGATCGACTGTCAGGTGTGATGGAGGCTTTTCACATGAAGCTGTACAGTTCTGTTCTGTTCTGTGACTTAAGTGAATCCTCCGATTGCTTGCTATAACTTTTCCCCAATATCATTGCATTGGTAGAGTCCTATTTGCAAGAGAGACATCAAACAGTAAGGATTGATGCTGGGAGGTCTGCAAATAGGAAGATATCGGTAGGAGTGCCACAAGGTTCTGTCTTAGGCCCCAGACTCTTTCTTATCGATATTAATGATCTCCCAGATAATGGAATAATGCTCAAATATACAGATGAAACATCAGTATCTCTTGCAGCTAGCTCTCATGAAAGTGCAACAGCAAACAGACGCTGAATTTGAAACAGCCTAGATCTGGTTTCATTCCAGTTCTCTATGAGATAAATAAACATTCAAAATGAAGATCAAGACAAGCACTAATGGAAAATCCACATTGACGGTCTATCCATTAAACTTCTCAGAATATTCATGTCATTCGCAACTTATTGCGTGACGTGTCGCCAAATATACTCCGCATTTGATACTTCGCACTATTTCTGTCGCACACATATGCAATTATTGTCTTGGGTCAATTTGCTGAGGCAGTACGAATATAATATCAGAAATAATCGAAATTGGATCCATATACAGGGTGTTTTAGAACTATGGGATCAAACTTGTAGGGGTTATGCAGTGTAACAGTAGATAACATTTGAGTATAGGGACCCATATCCGGCGCTTGTGTGTTGTTATGTTTAAAAACGATAACAGAGATTGTTTTTTGTAGCTGCATTCCATATCGGCTTAGTCGTGCTATCGTATTTGTGAAGTTTGCAAAAATTTAACAAAAATTAATTGTTGCTAATGTAAAACTTTAGCAATCAAGAATGGGCGGATATCCATTTGGCATACTGAGCAACAAGCTGCAACGCACGAGCAGCAGCGCGGTTGTGTCAAGAACGTTATCCCGAACGACAGGATCCGGGATAGAAAAAGTTTATTGCTATTCATCGGCGGTGCTCCGAGACAGGCATGTTCAAAACCAACATGCATGATACTGGTGTTGCTCGAACCGTAAGAACGGTCGAATTTGAAGAAGAGGTCCTTCAGTAAGTTGCCGACGAACCATCAAGTAGCATACGTCACATTGCTGAGGATATGAATACTGTCTGACCGATGAAGCCTCTTTCACCAGAGACGGTATTTTTAATAGTAGGAATAGCCATGTTTGGGACAAGGAAAATCCCCATGCAATTTTTCCTAAAAAACATCAGCAACGTTGGTCTGTCAACGTATGGGAAGGCATTGTTGATGATTATTTGATTCCGGAACGGTTAACAGGACCTATTTACCGGCGTTTCTGTACGTGAGTATTTGTCTCAGCGGTTTGGGCACCGCCGGATTGCCAGAGGTGAAGCAGTTTCTTGGCCTCCTAGGTCTCCCGATTTAACGTCGCTAGATTTTTTCCTAGTCAAGTCCGTCGAAATCATGTGCGACGTATAAATCGGTATATTCAGGCTGGAAAAAGACATTTTGAACAATTGTTGTGATTATATCATGTACAAAAGGCAAACATTAAATGCATTAAATTCTATTTAGGCAATTCATCGTTTTTCTAAATTTTAACGCGTCCTAGGGCCGTAGTGCCGTAGTGACACTTTTCCGGATATGGGTCCCTATACTCAAATGTTTTCTATTGTTACACTGAATAACCCCTAGAAGTTTGATCCCTTAGTTCTGAAACACCCTGTATATTGGCGACTGAGGAGGTGTCAGGATGATCCTTCGTTCTGGACCATTAAATTTTTCAATAAATTCCCACTAAATATAAAATCACTGTCTTTTAATGATTATATAATTGGTATTAGAAATGTTTGGATCCAAATTCTTTTAAATATTGAAAATTTTCTAAATACTGATTTTAACGTTTTGCGATAGTTCAAAACTTTGAAGTGCGTCAGCAGACTTTTTTCTTGTGTTATGACGATTGAAAACAATTTTTTGTATTACCATGAATAAATAAGTGGAATGAAATGAAATGTCAAAAACGAAGCGCTTTTATTTGTTTCGGTTTTGGCTTTTTTCTCCGCCGCTATGGGACCGACTTTCAAAGCATACGAAGTTTGTTCAAAGAGTATCGCGAATTTCATGTTTTTTCAAGATTATTTATTTATTCATGAATATCTATTTTTTCCACAAATCCGGGCGTTTCTGGCCGATTGCTTCTCGCAAATTGCACATTACTTGAAGGTAATATTCCGTATTAACCGTTCTAACCTGCGGCAAGAACTCATCAATGTTTTGTCTGAGAACATTTTGTACCACCGATAAACGTTGCTTTTGTCCAAAGTAGCTTCGCCGTATGCAACAGTCAACATTTGGAATATGTCCGCGCACTATTGTTTTTTTTACACAAAATTTAATAGAAATTCTTTGATCCATTTTTTGAAGTAGACAAAAATCGGAGACAAGCTAAAACACGTCCACGCACAATAGCTGTCAAAAAGTGACTGAAAATTCAAAATGGCCGATATTGTCAACATTAGTGATGGTCATGAGTCCGGAAACTCAAAAAATGTGTACAGCATTGTTAGTGATGATGAATCGTGGATTTACTGATATGAACCAGAAAATAAACGACAGTCGGCTGTTAGGGTGTTCCAAGGTGAAGAAAAGCCAACAAAAGTCATCCGTTCTCGAAGTGTTTCGAAAAAGATGGTCGCGACATTTGTGTCAAAAGCGGGTCATATTGCAACAATTCCTTTTAATGAGCAAAGAACTGCTACTGCGGATTACGGTATACGATCATTTGTTTGCCAAAAGTCAGCACCGAGCTTCGAAAAATCAACCCCGAAAGAAGAATCATCCTCCACCAAGACAATGCAAGCTCGCACACAGCCCAAAAAACAAGGCAGTATTTAACGGAAGAAAACGTGGAATTATTAACGATTTCTTTACTTTCCCAAAATTAAAAACAGACTGCATGGTCAAATGTTTAAGTCACCAGAAAAAGCAGTTGATGCATTCAAAAATGCCGTTTTGGATCTGCCAGCAAACGAGTGGAATAAGTGCTTCGAAAATTGGTTCGAGCGCATGCAAATGTGTGGAGAATACTTCGAAAAACAACAAAAGTCATTTAAAACTACCTACCGTGTTGATTTATTTCCACATGCAAAACTTAAAAGAAATCCCTCGTAACAGACTTACTACGTAATTAAAAAAATCAAATTAGTAATATAGCTTCCGTTCTTCTGGTAACAGATGACAATTTGTGCTGTCAATTCAAAATCAAGTTACTTACAATCTGTTCTTATTCCAGGTGGTTCAACGAATGACGACCAATCACCGCCTCACTCTCCACGGCCAAGCAACCACCATACGCACCCCCCTCGTTCTCTCACCCCCTCCAGACCTTCATCACGCCCCTCATCACCTCCTTCCCCTCAAGGGGCAGGAGGTAGTCCACCTCATCATGGAACTGCCTCCCACCCCGCCTTCCTGGATCAAAGCTACCTGTCTAGGTCAAAAGTCCTGCTTATAGAGAAAATGAGAATATGGTCATCGATGAAGAGGTCGAGGATGAAGAGAGTGATTATGATAACGATAAGGATAAGAAGGTAGGTGAAAAATTATGAATTCTATGGAGATTTAATACGTGATGAGAAGGGAGGAGTAGGTTCTATGCGATATTAGACAAGTAACTATAAAAAACTTCTTTATTAAAGCTAAAACTGTATGAATAGAAATTTTGCAAAGAAGGTTGATTAACATCCTGCATCTCATCATTAAGACACAATTGCAAATAGGTTGAACGATTTTGTTGTAAATATTGACAAATCCTATACTGGGTGCATTGTGAGGCCAAACGAGAACAGACCGCCACGAAAATTAAATCAAAGTACAAAGGCGGGTTTTGATAATTCGAAGACTGAATTGTTTAAATGTACTGCTGACATTATTTCAATGCCGCTATGTCGCATAATAGTCCCTGAAGGTCCAATATCTGTCATCATAATTATATCTACACTACTTGAGAAAACATTGAAAGATAAGCTAATTACATTTTTGGACAAATGCAAATATCTTTTTGTTTCCGAATAATTCATTGGAATATCAACCAATGATGCAATTGCTAAATCAACAGAAGAGTTTAGAAAAAGATTAGAATTGATCAGACAGGTACTATGAATATTCCTGGATCTTGCCACTGTAAATCAACAGCAGATGTTGGATACCTTGTAGGATGCACGAGTATGAGGCGGACCTTTTGACTATGGTTTCCCGCAGGTTACTGTGTTGGGTCCAGTCTTGTTTACAATTTACATAAACAGCATTCCAACTTCCTCTCCGTGTGCTCAAGTGTTTAGCTTTACAGATGATACTGTAGTACTGTAATGCGATAGTACTTGTTGGGAAAGTCTAGCAATTGAAGCAGAGCGAGATCCAGGAGCTATGTTTGATTATTTTGCTCATAAACTATTTACCGTGAACTACAAGAAAACATCCTTCATGCATTTTTCTAGTACAGTGCGTTGTCTACCTCACTATGATCAAATTTTGATAAATAAAATATACTTTTAACATACCTGAAAACCTATAAACCTATAAACAGTCGCCACCTGAGATCGGATGTTTATCCAGGGTGTAAACGTTATGATAGTCATTATTTAAATGAATGATGGAGGGATTAAAAGTAGCAAAAAGTTTCATATAACATGGGGTCAAAACGGCAGTTTTTTAGAGAAAAGCGAATTTAAAGTAAAATAAAATCTGACAACGCCGCAATGCCAGACGCAAATTACGCAGTGTAAATAAAGATGGAGTTTGTTATTTTTGGCTCTTAGGTATTATGTCATTATTTGGTAATATACTCGTAAAATGCAAATAATTAAAAAAACGGACTTACCACTAACTGTCTCAGCGCTTCACCTGCTGTGTGAAAGTTAATTGAACGTATTATAAAAATCCACTTATAAATAGGGAACACAATTTTGATAAATACATTGTTTTTCTTTTTCTGTATTCAAAGGTGTTCAAAATGTCGTCTTCCAACTTCCACACAAGCTTCATTACGACGAACCCAGTTTCTTCTTACTCTAGGTCCTCGAAGTTGTCCATTTATTATTACAGCCGCATTAAATTTTTTTTTGCGAAGTTGTGCTTCGGATGTTATTGAACCAGCCCCACAAATCATCCCTTTAAGTTCTCCCCAATACCAGAAATCCATCGGATTGAGGTCAGAAGATCTTGCTGGCCATTTTCAAGGATCAGGAGCATTTCGACCGATCCAGCGATTTGGATAACGTTCATTCAAATACTGAATGACGCATCTAAAAATGTGTGATGGTGCCCCGTCATAAAGAAACCACAAATTCTGTCTCCGTTGTAATAGCATGTTGTCTAAGGTCTTTTCCAAAAGTTCTGGTAGGTTATTGGCTAGAAAGCTAAGGTATCCTTCACCTGGCAACTTTGGGGGTAACTCGAAAGGGAAAATTACCTGATCATCAAGAAGACCCACCAAATATTTATTTTAAAACGTTGTTGGAAATAACCTTCACGAATGGTATGAGGATTTTCTTGAGCCCACGTGTGAGTATTATGGAAATTTAATATCCCGTCTCGCGTAAAAGTACGTTCGTCCGTCGCTAGAATGTTTTAAAAAAAGCCTTGTACATGGTAGGGATAAAGCCAATTTTCCCGTAGGATTCTATAGACTTACCCGCTGGCGAAATCTATCGCGATAAATTTGAGCTGCAAGGTTTGAAATCTGACGAACTTCACCGTAAACTAGCAACATGTCGGCGAACTCCTGATTCGAGAACACTGTAAATCAACACGACGACGTACGCGAACAAAAGCAAAACAACATACCAACCACTGTTACCGTTTGCGATCGATAGCCGCTTTGATAAGAGTGATGATGACCGACGCGCTGTCGTTATGTGTGTTTTAATAATTCAATTTGATTAAACTTACTTACTGACTACAAATTTTGGCTTAACTTAGAAAAACTTATTGCCATTTATTTGTTAATTACCCAATTTAAAAACGTTTTAGATTAGATTATAAAAATTAGTAAGATTGTGATGATTGTGGTCGATATAAAGCACTTAAAGTTGTAAACTATAAAGCCATTTAGACAAAAATCTATTGACTTTTGGACCATGGGTCATATGAACTTTTTGACTTGTTTTGACCTTACCGTAACTCTTATGTCGCTTTAAATACTTAGAAATTCTCATAGTCTACATGTACCTGAAAATGTATTATTATGCATTAGTTGAGTAACATCTGCGATACGCCAGTTTGAATTGGGAGGAGGGAGTTGCCTCTAGATATACTGCAAAAAAGTATGTTAAAGGTGATATGCAAAAAATTACTTATCTTTTTTGTTAAATTATTTTCAGATGGTGTTTGACCTAAGAAAATTGTGTTTCCATCAACTCATTCAATACACGTACAAACACAAGAATAACTTCAATAAAGCTAGTCATGCTTATAGTACTAGACAGAATGAAAGAACTTAAAAATACAAACTTTGCAAAGAAATATAAGCTTGTCGATGTCACACCTATCTATCATGTAATATTTATCATTACTTGCCATAAATGTACCGTATAGATATTGATAACATAAAAGTATATCTGTTTAATTGGTAGTCAAGAGACAAGGAAGCTAGTGGAAATTATTGTTTACTAATAATCGTACAACACGAGTGCTACTCCTTCTTACCCTCCAGACTTCTAACTGTGCCTGTCACAATTTTTAACTAATCTAATAAGTGTAGTAAAGTCACGTGTTTTATTTTCTTTTACGTTTATTCTACATTTACATTATTGTTTACTTCACACACACATCAAGTTGTACGTAGTAAAGTGAACGTTATAATTATATTAATTATCTCAATATACTTACTTATTTTTAGGCGTTTGTTCTAGATTTTGCTTTGTTGACATATTCGTTACTGATCACCCTGTACATTTTTTCAATATCGTAAGCACAGCTTGAACACTTTGGTGTCATTTTGGGTCCCAGAATTATAATACCTTTCATGTTATTTTCCACAATGATTTATGCCTTAGAAATATCACTGTATTTTTAATCATTCAAATCTATTTCAGGTGCAGAACCCTAGCATGAGTCCTGGCGGCAACTCGCTAAACAAACGAAAAAAGAAAACCCGGACAGTGTTTTCTAGATCCCAAGTGTTCCAGTTAGAATCGACCTTTGACATGAAGCGGTATCTGTCATCGTCGGAACGAGCTGGTCTCGCAGCCAGTCTGCACCTGACAGAGACCCAGGTGAAGATCTGGTTTCAGAACCGCAGGAATAAGTGGAAGAGGCAGTTGGCTGCAGAACTCGAGGCTGCCAATATGGCGCATGCTGCTCAAAGGCTGGTAGGTGTTACTTACATAATATAAAAATAGTAACAACTATTTTAATTTAATTTACTGATCACCTATTTTCAATCTCCGGTACTGTTGAAACTTATATATTAGGTTGTTAGTCTGTTAAATCATTTTAAATTAAAAAAAATTATGGATGAAGCTTTTCGCAATTATTTTTACCAAAATACTGTATTTTTAGCACGTATTTTCACCGCCATCACTAACGAACACCTACCATATTGCCTTGACTGTGCTATTACCGGATTGGGTTCCGGATTTGAGAAGCAATGTGGAGAGTCGAAAATTTATATATCTACATACATTGATTAACACAAAATAATGAAAAACTAAAAACAAAAATGAACAACGCAAAAGTAAAATAAGAAGCAATTCTCAATAATTTTGAACAAGAAATGATAAAAAATTATTACAAAAATTAATAAAAAAAAACAGAATTGTAAAGTAGTAGTAGTCGCAGTGGTAGGGTATTTTGATGTGATGTCTTTTATCTTGTGATATAATTTTTGTTATTTTTTGTTTGTTTTTGATAATCACTTCTGCTTGCTACTTTCATTTTTTAAAATTAGTTAGCATTGTTTTTCAGCTTACTATTGTTATTTTTTGTTTTATAATTATTAAGGATTATTTTAGTCCGGCAACCTCGCAGGCAATTCCTTCATATGCTTAGACGTCAACGACATGTGGTAGCGATGGCAGTGAAAATACAGTATTTTGGAAAAAGAATTTCGGATAAGCGTGCTTCATCGACACATTTTTTGGCTTAGAATGATCTATCAGACTACCCTATACAGGGTGATCCACAAGTCGTGACCAAAAATGACACACCATACACAGGGCCGCATTTTAAGGGAGGTCTTCTATTTAACATATCTTTCTCGAAGGCTTCATCAAAAAGATACATGGTGTTGAAGTTTAAACATAGAAAATATTTTTTTAATATCTTCAAACCGTCATCTAGAATGAATTAAAATTTGGTACAAATAATTACTATTGTATTTATTCCTAGAGTACATTGTTCTCGTTAAAATAAAAAACACCACTGGTGCACATTAATTTTAAGTACAGAGTTCTGAATGTGGCAATACTTCATAAATTCACATACCAAATTTTTGTTCATTCCAGTTGATGGTTTTGAAGATATTAAAAAAATAGTTTTTTATTTTCAAACTTCTACACCCCGTATCTTTTTAATGAAGCACCCGAGGAAAAAATGTTACATAGAAGACTCCCTTAAAATGCGGTCTTGTCTACGATGTTTCGTTTTTGGTAACGACTTGTGAATTACCCTGTATAATATTGAAGTGAAAAAAAATGGTGACATCCGAAGCTCTTCAAGACACTACACTACCCATTCTCCTTTTCCGGAATATTTAGTGACTCTGACATTCTTGTTTTTTAGAGTTTAAACTTTTATTTATTGTTTGTAACATGAAGTCAACATTTCTTATGAATCTACAAATACAGGATGTCCACAAAGTTGGGACTTTTCTTCACAGAGCGTCTGGGCCACGCAATGATAAGCAAGTTTCCCAAAGCCTTAAGAAAATCCGAAAAACTCTAATTGGGCCAGTCCAAGCCTGCCTTCCTTCACCCCTCCAACCCCCCCCCCCCCCCGCTCCCCTTCCACCTCATCCATGAAAAGGTTTGGTCATGCTATGTCTATGTGAGTCAGTATCTGAATCATCAGATATGTCTTAAATCTCTTACCAAATGAATAGTGAGTATCTTTCTTTAATTTCTGTCTTACATTTTCGGTGCTGTTTTCACCGCAAATAAGCTTTGCTATTTCGAACGTAGTGTTTTCTGAAAGGGAAACTTCCAACTTTCAGGACACCCTGTACTGTTCAAAATGATTTCATCTAGCTATAGAGTAAGTCTTTAACCTCATTTTCATAGACGGACAAACTGTTTCAAATACAGATGTTTCAAGAAGGAAAGTCTGGCAATCGTCCGTTTTCGAGATATAGAGCCTCAAACTTTTTTTAATTCCATTCATGCAAAAAAATTATAATCACTGGCTAATTTTGAAGTGGCTTATTGAAATTTATCATTACATTAACATCTCGCCGAAAATTAATGCCATTCGAAAAAAAACGCTTTTATAAAACCATGGGGGCAGGACAGATACAGTAGAACTCCAATTATCCGAACTCCGACTATCTGAATCGCCGATTATCCGAATCACTTTAAATTTGTCCAAAGTCCGCGGCGTCAGTGTAGGCACAACAACACGTGGTATGAGTCCCCACTCCAGTTCCGGCACATTGCAGTCACGGCGCACCAATATAGTCAGTGTGCTATTGACCTTGCTCGAGGACGCTACTCTTTCGCTACGGCTTACAATACTATTGTACTGTATTGTTTTTCACCATGGCTTCGAAAAGAAAACGTGTTGTGCTATCGTTAGCGGACAAACTGAAAATTATAGAGCAACTCGATAAAGGTGTAACGGGTAAGAAGTTGTCTGAGATTTATGGTGTTGGACAAGCAACAATTTGTGACATTAAAAACAGTAAGTCAACACTTTTAAACTTTGTTTCGGTGCTTGAAAATGAAGATGGAAGTTCCTCCAGGAAAACAATGAAGACAGCAACCAACAAAAATTTGGAAGATGCCGTGTTTAAATGGTTTTTGCAGCAACGTTCTATGGGAAATCCGATTTCAGGTCCAATCCTTTGTGAAAAAGCCAAAATCTTAGCAGAAAAGCTTGGTTATTCATCTTTTAAGGCTAGTAACGGCTGGCTAAGGAACTTTAAATTCAGGCATGGTGTACGCGAGTTAGATTTGGCTGGTGAGAAGCTTTCAGCAGACTCTGCAGCTGCTGAAAATTTTATTGAAAAATTTAAAACTGCAGCAGAATCCTATGATCCGGAGTTTGTTTATAATGCCGATGAAACTGGCCTTGTTTGGAAAGCATTACCAAAAACCACTTTGGCTTCTAAAAGGGAATCTAGTGCCCCTGGACATAAGGTCAGTAAAGAACGTGTTACAGTGCTTAACTGTGCCAACTCCACTGGAAATCATAAACTACCACTTCTTTTGATAGGACAATCAAAAAATCCAAGAGCATTTAAAAACGTAAAAAAACTTCCACTCTTCTACAAAAGTCAACCCAAGGCCTGGATGACTGCAGCTTTGTTTACCGAATGGTATGATGAAGTGTTTATTCCTGAAGTGAAAAAGCACCAAAAATCGGTGGGAAAAGAAGGCAGTAAGGTGCTTTTAATTGTTGATAACGCACCCACTCATCCTACAGCAGAACTGTTGGAAAGAGAGAAAGGGCAGTTTAAAACGACGTTTTTGCCTCCCAATGTTACAAGTTTGCTGCAACCCATGGACCAGTCTGTTATTGAAACAATGAAGCGCCATTACAGAAGGCAACTGCTGAGAAAACTGCTGATCGAAGGTGCTGAAGATGAAGAATTGGTTTTGGCAAATCATAGCAAAATAAATTTAAAGGACTGCTGTTACATGGTAGCGGAAGCTTGGAGTTTGGTTACGGCAGTGACGCTAAGACGTGCGTGGAATAAACTGAAAGGCCTACCGTCTGAGAAGAACAAAAAAAAAGAATCTGAAGAAAATGAGAAACAAGAAAATGGAGAGGATGAAGATGATGAAGATGCGTTGTCACTAGAGGAAATAAGAAAAATGATTGTAAAAATTCCTGGTTGTACAGAAGTAAGTGCTGAAGATGTAGGAGAGTGGATGGCTTGTGACACGTCTGACCCTGGTTTTCAAATTCTCAATGACGATGAAATTGTTGAAAGTGTGAGAGAAGATGTTGAAGTGGAAGTGGGAGAAGAACTTTCTGCTGATGTTGAAGTAGACGCTGGACCATCAGCTAGTGAAGCATTTGCCGGCCTCGAGACTGCTTTGAAGTGGATGGAGCGTCAGCCCGAGTGTGACCACTTGCAACTGCTCACCGTCAAGCGAATGCGTGACCTGGCTGCCCGAAAACGGATGAAGAACGCAAAACAGCTTACATTGACGGAGATGTTTAAAAAACAATGATTTTTATTTCTAAACTTGTACATATGTATGTACGTACATACATTTTATGTATTTTATGTATGTATTTATATTTAAAACATGTGAAAATATCATGTTTCTTTCATTTAATTCAATAAAAAAAATAGTGCAATATCAAAACGTAGCATTTTTCTCTCCAATGGCAATTTTTAAAAAAAAAATCCGATTATCCGAATATTTGATTATCCGAATGGGTCCCGGTCCCCATTAATTCGGAAAATTGGAGTTCTACTGTATATCAGATGGTAGCTAAATTATAACCATCGGATGCTCGCACAAATACAATGAAATCGCTCCAAGAACATGGTACGATTAAATTTTTTTTTTTTACATCTCGTATTGTTAAGGGAGTTAGATGGTAGAATAGATATAGAATCTAAATCTCGCCTCCTGTAAGAATATTACAAATAAAAGACGTTAATTATTATTATTATTATTATTAAATAATATTACTCTCTTTCGAAGAGCCCAATTAAAACTGACGAAGAAGAAGCAGGCGTGGCGGGCATCATACCGTCGCCGTCGGCCTAAATTATTGATTTTTTGATAACTTAAATAACTCTTTAGCGTTAAGTATGCAAGATGAAGAAATAAATATATATTCATGTATACCTGTACAAATTGCTTATCTTAGTTTCTGTCCAACACATATAGCTTCTGTTCTTTGAATCACCTTATATACAACTAATTTTCCATTCCAGGTGCGAGTTCCAATCCTCTACCACGAATCCGCCGCCGCAGCGGCAGCCGCAGCCGCAGGTAGTACTGGCATGCGACACCCGTTCGACCAGAACCACCCCTTAGGGCTGCCCCACCCCCTAGATAGTCGAGAGGGCGGTGGTTCAGGTGGTTCCGCCCCTACCGGGTACCCCTCCTCTCTCTACTACCACCACCAAGCGGCCGTCGCTGCGGCAGCGGTCCATTCGCTGCCCGCCTCCAGTCCTGTCACGCGACCTACGATGTCCGGATTGGTTTGAAGGTGGTAGGAGGAGCGATAGTGGGCGTGACTTAAGCAGGCTCCGCCTATTGCAGCACGTGACTAGCCTTTTAATATCTAGAATGGTCTTGGAGTAGGAAAGAGATGTAGCGTGAAGGGTTTGATGAACTGTGGGTATGAACTTCAATCAAATACAAGTTTATCTGTGTAAAAAGACCTTCAAGCTTAATGGGCGGGGAAGAGTGCTTCCTTAACTCCACCCACGATGATTCGTGATAGGTGAATTCAACATGAACGCGATCACTGTATTTTGATAAGATGTTTAAACAACAAATGATTCATGCGTATTACAACGGGTACCATTGCAATGACTAAATATGATGTGTGAAACTGTGCTTAGAATACCAACCTTTTTATAAAATAATAAATCTCCATGCTGTCTATAAATTGTCGTACGTGGTTGATTCAAATCCATTTCAAAAAGCCAATGACAATTCCAGAACTACTTACATGTAATTAAAAAAAAAATATGATAAAATATAATATACTCAAAACAGCGCAAATATTAGAAGTTATAACGAACAGTCGTGAACGTTGACTATCGTGCTTCTATATGGATTTGAAAATACATCTGGCAACATGATGAGAGGATGGAGAATGAAACTAATAGCACTTCATCTTGCTAGTTCTGCCCTAGTTCATTCCGAATTTGTCCCCAAAAGAACATAAAGCTTTCGGCATTTCCTGTCTTATGAGCCATCTGTCAGTGAAACACGATTCAATGAATTTGTCCCTTTTTGTACTGTTATCGTGAATTTTTCGAAAAGAGAGAGGAAAGCCATGCAGGAATTGGTTGTTAAAGCATGGTTGGTTGCATGCAAGACCACAAGGAAGAGCTGTCAAATATGACACTGTTGACAGCTGACAACACAAGCCTGAGCTCCTCTAGGTTCTGTGATAACTTTGCACAGTGTGTAAAGCTAGTTCAAAGTACGGTCCAAAAGAACATGAATATACAGGTGATTCACAAGTCGTGACAAAAAATGAAACATCATACACAGGACTGCATTTTAAGGGGGGGTCTTCTATGAAACATTTTTTTTCTCGGGGGCCTCATTAAAAAGATACAGAGTGTTGAAGTTTAAAAATAAAAATATTTTTTTTATATTTTCCAAATCGTCCACTGGAATGAACTAGAACTTGATATGTAGATTTAGCTAAGTATTGTCCACATTCAAAAGTCTTTACTTAAAATTAACGTGCACCAGTGGCGGAGATACAGGGGATTAGTGACATAATTTTTCCAAAAAAAATAGTACGCCGCTGTTTTTTTAAGAAACGCGCAGTTTTTTGAATTACTCCGTCAGTTTGCTACAAATAATTACTCTTATGTTTTTTCCCAGGGGTGCACTGTTTTCGTAATTTTTTTTATTTTTACAAAAACAATGCACTCTAGGAAAAAGCACAAGAGTAATTATTTGTAGCAAATTGAAGGTAGAATTCGAAAAATTGTGCGTTTTAACAAAATTAGTGGCGTACTATTTTTATTTGGAAAATTAATGCCACAAATCCCCTGTACCTCCTCCACTGGGGCACGTTAATTTTGAGTAAAGACTTTTGAATGTGGGCAATACGTGTTCACGGCTTTGAAGATATTACAAAAATTGTTTTTTATTTTTAAATTTCAACACCCCGAATCTCTTTAATGAGAAGCTCTCGATGAAAAATGTAACATAGAACATCCCCCTTAAAATGTCCTGTGTATGTTTCATTTTTGGCCACGACTTGTGAATCACCGTGTATACACAGGAATGCTAGGTCACATAGTTATATAGATAACCTCTGTTAGATTGACACTTTTATTTTGGCACTTTATATAGGTAAATTCACTTTTGTCAAGTCGTCAGTTGTACATTCCTCTTGCACTGTATGAGTGCAGTTCTAGTATCCCAGTGATCAATTAAGCTTGTCGATTTGACCGATACAAAATTCATAGTCAGTTCTGAATTGACATTGCCATGGAGATAGGAATTTTGTTTTCAAACAATTTTTGCAGTATAAGGAAAATAATGATGGAATGTTCATTGTGAATGAGAGCATTATATACGTTCAAATATTGTAGCTATTTGTACATATAGGTAAGTTCAACTAAAATTTGTAAACAAGCTACTACAGTTACCCAACATGCCAAAAAGTGAATAGTTAATATATATGTTTAATTGTGTAGCAGAAATTGTTGTTACGGTAAATAAATGTAATATGAAGTAAGAAAATTGTTTCAATTACCTAACCTTTGACATAATTAATCAGTTACAAACTATGGACTTTACGTGAAATGATGGGACTCGAACCAGCGTTCTGGCCAAGTCGAATTAAGGGTGGATTTGGAGGATATAAGGGTGATAAGATGTAAAGACTTATAGGTAATATCAATGTTGGCTGAAATTGTTTTGATCTATACACGGTGTTCCACTTTAATCTCCTCACCTAAATATTTCGCAAACCGCTAATTCTAGTTTTAAGAAAAATTGTATGGTTTCAAATAATTATGGTGACCTTGACAATGACCTTGACTACGATATTAAAGATCATTTCAAGCCCAAGAGAATATTTTCAAATAAAAGCCCGCTTTTTACATCCGAATTGAAAAGAGGGATAATTTACGTCCTATTATCACCTTCGTCATGGCCTTGACTGTTGCCTTCAAAGCCATGCCAAGGACAATATAAAGCAAAATGTTCGACAGCGCAGCTGTAAGGTTTGTGACAATCACCCAAATGTAACCTTGACCTTCAAGGTCAAGTCAAAAATTGAAGGCAATAGTCAATTTCATGACAAGGGTGATGATAGAACGTAAAATTGTTCCTCTTTTCATTTCCGATGTAAAAGCAGGTTTTTATTTATAAATATTCATTCGACCTTGAAATTACCTTGATTACGATTTTCAAGGTTATTTCAAGGCCAAGAGAATATTTTCAAATAAAGCCCGCTTTTACATCGGAATTGAAAAGAGCAACACTTTTACGTCCGATCATCACCTTCGTCATGAACTTGACTATTGCCTTCAAGGCCATGCCAAGGTCAATACAAGACATCGAAAGCAAATTGTTCCAGCAAAAATGTTCGACAGCACATTTGTTTTGAGGTTTGCGACGATCACACAAATGTGATCTTGACCTTCAAGGTCACGTCAAAAATTGAAGGCAATAGTAAAGGAGTCATGACGAAGATGATGATGGGACGTAAAATTGATCCTCTTTTCAATTCCGATATAAAAAGCGGGCTTTTATTTGAAAATATTCACTTGATCTTGAAATGACCTTGACTACGATCTTCAGGGTCATTTTGAGGTCAATTGAATATATTCAAATAAAAGCGCGCTTTTTACATCGGAATTGAAAAAAGGAACCATTTTACGTCCTATCATCACCTTCGTCATGCACTTGCCTATTGCCTTCAAGGCCATGTCAAGATCAATATACAAGACATCGAAAGCAATTTGGTCTAACAAAAATTTTCGACAGCGCATTTGTGAGGTTTGTGGCGATCACCCAACGGTGACGTTGACAGTCAAGGTCAAGTCAAAAATTAAAGGTAATAGTCAAGGTCATGACGAAAGTGATGACGGGACGTAAAATTGATCTTCTTTCCAATTCCGATGTAAAAAGCGGGCTTTTATTCGAGGATATTCACTTGGCCTTGAAATGACCTTGACTACGCTCTTCAAGGTCATTTCGAGGTCAATTGGATATTTCCAAGTAAAGGCCCGCTTTTTACATCGGAATTGAAAAAAGGAACCATTTTACGTCCTATCGTCACATTCGTCATGAACTTGGCTATTGCCATCAAGACCATGTCAATATCAATACAAAGCATCGAAAGCAATTTGCTCTAGTAAAAATGTTCGACATCTCAGTTGTTTTGCGGTTTTTGGCGATCACCCAAAGGTGACCTACACCTTCAAGGTCAAGTAAAAAATTGCGGGCAATAGTCAAGGTCATAACGAGGGTGATGGTAGGACGTAAAATTGTTCCTCTTTTCCGAT